ACTTGACGCTTCTTCTCGGGTGTGTGTTCGATGTCGTATGCTGCGGAGGCTCGGTCGGCGGCGATGACGGCTGTGAGGTAGCATTGTTAGCAATCGAACTCCGGGATTCTGCGATAGAGAGATACGTACCGATGAATGTTCCTGTTGAGGCCACAAGGAAGGCCCGGAAAGGAACTGTGAGCGCTCGGAAAGAGTGGTATCTTCTGCTCGCAGCCATGACGCCTGCAGCACCTATCGCCGTACCAATGGCACCACCTATCGAGCCGCCCTTGATTGTGGCACTTGAAGCTATCAGTACAAAGTTCCCATCCCCGTTAGAGTGTAACACTCACTTGTAATGCGCCGCCTCCTCTTCCTTGGTAAGAACCTTCATCTTGTCTTGGGTAGAAACTGCTCCGATTCGGAATTTGGGTGTATAATGGACGGCCGTGAGAATGTGGCGGCTGTCGAGAGTTATGCGTCAGGTATACGCTTAGTGTTGGGAGTTGGACGAGTATGTGTATGGAGTCTGAATGGGTATATAAAATATGACGGCGCACGCGGCGACTTATTAAAAGATAACGCAATGCTCAAAACTCATGGTGACGTCGCCGAACTTCCGGCGCCGCTAGACCCACGTTGACATGTGCGGGCAGTGATGAGGTAAGGCCCTTTCGGCAGGCCCTGCCTAGCCCTACGTTCCTCCAGGGCTGGGCCGATTATCGTGCGCTGAGAGATCAGGTCACCGATGCATGATCGAGTGAGTATACCTCGAGGGGACTTCTTTTGCTGTTCGTTTCTTGCAGCTCTACGTTGGATGTAGGAACATTTAACTCGTTTTGGGATGCGCTCCCAGCGAACCATGACTCCCTCCTCAAGATGCTCTGCCTCGCAACAGTTCCATCAGAAATGCATCACCCATGCGCATTCACTACCCTGACACCTACATGCAGGCAGCCGCTAAGTAAAGCTCTGTAAGCTTGTGAGCAATGCATCCCCGGTTTGTTCCTGCTCGGCAAGTTCTCGCGTGTCGCATGCTCTTCGGATTCTGTGCCGAAGCGGCATCTCTTAGTTGCCGCTCGCCGCTCGCACTCTTCAGACTCAGCAGATATGCGGCCAACCTTCCCTCTCCTCTACATGAGGTTATGCGAGTCCCTCAGAACGTGATTTTCGATGAAACAGCTCGAAGTTTTCACAAACCCTGATTATCGTCTTCCCGGCATGTGCAAGCTCTTTCCCGGCCATGCCCGAGTTGCTACCGAAGCCCGTACAAACTCCAGGATTCACCGAGCGGCTCCGCACGTTGACATCGACGACAAGACGGGTAGCAACGTCTGTCTCTTATGTTCACTCATCAGTTCCCATCACTGTGGTAAAATCACGAACTCTTCCCAACACATCAAAAGCAGTGATACATGCAATAGGCCATCATGTTTCTTATTTCCATCGAAGAATACATACATCCGATGACAGCATTATCGTAACCGTATTAACTCGTGATTAGTCTGCTTCCGAAAGAAGGATAAGTATGTAGGTACAATCCAGTTCATTGTTCACCATATCGTCTTCTCCAGCTTTTGCCTCCATAATCCTACTAAGTATCTCAGGGCCGATGAAAGTGTTGGGATAAACAAGAAAGAACATGTCCGTGATAAGGCGTGTCCAGGAATCGATGCTTTTCCAACTGACTGTAGGAAATGCGTACTTTCGTTTTAAGCCAATGGTCTTCGACAATTTGTTCGACATTGATCTTAGCTTTTGGGCATATCCACGATACCTTCTTCGAGATCGAGCGAGCGGTGCACTGGCTGATAATACCCAACGATACGTATGTGGACAAAGACATGTACACGCGCAAATACGTCTTTAACGGAATGCGCCAAAACTGGGGCGCGGTGCGGGGTTGCCATAGCGGGGAAGCATGCCCGCCGGAGGTCCTGGGCGTGTCGCAAGGGCAGGGTTGCAGCAGAGCATGGCGACGCGAGAGCCGTACTTGGAACCGCGGAGAGAGACCATGTGCTTACGGATGTGGCCGCCAACGAGCTCGCGATGCTGGGTACCACTGTTGGTTAAGACATACTGGATAAGATAGTTGCCGAACTGATCACCAGCAACTTCGACAAGGTTAGCTATCGTCCACGGATCAAGGGTGCTCCAGACTTACTATCAATAAGAGGCATGCGTGGACGGTCGGGGCGAGCTTCGCATACGCGGTCCAGGTACCGGTCCAGGAACTCGTTGCCACCAATCTTCAGGCACTTCTCGATGACCTTGGAAGCATACTGGTCCATGCTGTACTCAGTACTGAAGCGAAGGATGTGATCGATAGCTCGGCTACGATCAGCGGGCGCACCATGCTCGCAAATATGCTGGATGCACCAGTTGCCGAATTGACCGTGGGCGATGACATCGATACTGGCGAGCACCTCGTTGATGCAGGGACGCTAATGCCAGTTAGTAGAAGCCAAAAGGATTGATAGCGCCTTCACGTACCTTGTCTTCCTCAAGGCAGTTCTCGAAGATGTTCTGTACGACCAGGCTGCCCGTCTCGCCCAAAGCAACTTCGTGCCACATGCCTCGTAAAGCTTCGTTGACGTAGCGCATGATCTGGGGAGGAGAGTCGCTCCAACGGAGCTCAAAGAGCTTCTGCCAGACGTGGCAAGCGTAACGGTGAATGACAGTCTCTGGGATGCGACGAAGCAGTTCGTGCACCATAGTTGCTTTATACTCTTCCGGGACGCAGTCGAAGGCCTTCTGGATGACATGGCAGCCAAATGCATCCATGCTCAAGGCGAGAGTATTGCCGCGAATGGCTTGGGCGATCGCGATGACTTGATCGTGCGTACCATGCTCAAAGCAACGCTGTACAAGAAAGTTGCCGAAGCGGTTGACCATCAATGCATAAGCTTGGGAGATGATTGCCTCCACGATCTCATACTTCTGTTCCGGTGTGCCTACTTTGAGCTTCTGCTGAAGGAAGATGGAAGCTTGCTGGTCGTTGTTGCAGATGATCTTATCGACGATGTACTTCCAGTTGCAGCTCATGTTTCGGTCCAACAGGCGACGATAGTTCATGGGTTCAACAGGGGGCACGTACTGTGAAGTACCCGCCTCACTCGGAGCCTATGTCTTGTCAGTAAAAGTAGGGGTTCTGCATGCAGTAGTGGCATCTTACCTGAGAGTTCCATGGAGACGGTCCCATGCCATTGGCCACGTTGAACTCGTTCGCATCTGGCGACAATCTGCTGGCCATTGTACCAATCGGAGCCGGGTGGCCTATCGGATACATGGGCGGCATAGCGTATTGATTGTAACTCGGATCGAAGGCCGAACTAGGGCGGCTAGGTGGATTACTCAGTCCATTTCCCATGCCCATGTTCATACCGTTGAAGTTGTTGTTCATGGGGTTAGGCATGCCATTACCCATACCGGCATTGAAGCCGTTGGACATCCCGCTGCTGCGGAAGCTCTGGTCGAGAGGGAAATGAGTAGGCTCGTTCAAGAAGCCATTGCGACGATAGCCTGACTGAGCGGGTTGTGGACGGGCCTGAGGCTGGGGCTGAGGCTGCACCTGGGGCTGGTATGAGTTGCCGAAGCTGTTGTTGCTGGAGTAGGCTGGGCGAGCAGGCTCATTGCCCCAACCGTAGTTGCTCCGAGTGGAAGCATTGAATTTGTTCTGCAAGCTGGTGAGAGTCTGCTCAGTGACATCACCCGGGTAGCTATAATCAGCCTCTGACGATTGGCTCAGGTGCTCCATGGTCGACCGGGCCACATGATGGCTGTGCATTTCCTGGTTGACGCGGTTGACTTCGTTGCGGGCCTCTTGTAGTTCTAGCTTAAGCTTTTGCAGCTCGCAAGCCTCGACGAGGATGATCGAGCCGTCCAACTCCGTCGATGGGGTAGATGCGAAGTCGTCGGTGGCCGGTGTGATGGGGATCGATCCGTTGGAGGAGCTATACGGGTCGTGCGGAGGGGAGCGTCCATTCAGGCGCTGCAAGAGCGAGTCCATGACGGCTGACTCCTCGTGAGCTCCCATCTTGGGCTTCTGGGTAGGTCAGCTTGGTCGATGTAAGAGGGCGCGACGGTGAGCCTGCTGCAAATGCTGGATTGTACTGACCTTATAGCCGTCGAATGAGTCGTGCTGCTGCAGCATAGGCGCTTGATTGCCCAGGGTAGAAGAACCGAGTGGTCGCTTCATGCCCTGTGTATTGCAAGTCAACGATGAGCCAAACGCACGTTGGAAGGCATATGGGTATTGGTGCAGGCTCATGCTGCCTACCGCCTGACCCAGGACCTCTGGCGAGGTATCAATCCTGAGATCGCCGGCCTTGGAGAATCGGTTGGGGCCCTTGCGGGGTGTGGGGGACCCGTCGGAAGTTATGTTGAAGCTCATAGTAGCGGAGCTTGGAAGAGTGGGTAGATGACTTAGATCCGAGAGGCTACCGACGTGTCCAGGCTATATGGTGAAGAGTGCGGTTCTGAAGGCGGCTGGAAACAAATCTGGGGTTATTGGGCAAATGGGCAGATAATATGCAGAACGGAGGCTCGGAGCAGCTCGTTTGGCGACGTAAATGGCCAATGTAGATGCAGAAGCGACGAGGAAACAGCTCAAATGTACATAAATCAGTAGGTCGCGGAGGGCGTTGTCGTAAGGAAAGGACGACAGTCGTGAGAAGAAGGAAGAGATCGAGGAGAGGGTGAGTGTAGAAAGCGGGAGAAGCGGGGTGATGACAATAGAAGCTTCCGAAAGAGACGAGGTGAGCGCGAGTAGGTGCCCAGGTGGAAGGCGCGTCGCGTCGGGACGCGTCGCACTCGTCTTCACCTCAGCAAACGGAAAGATTATTGTAGAAAGAGGAATCAAGGATGCAGTTGTCAAGATCGGCCCGCTCTACATCTCCACCCGTTGCATTCATGTCAAAGCTGGTATAGCCTTACTCCCACACTGAAAGTTGATGAGACATAGTGAGCCTTTGATATCCGCAGCTACCTACCACCTCTTCGAGCTTGGGCCTGCGCATCGCTTACCCACTTTCTATGACACTGCTGGGAGTGACCTTCCAGTGAGAGTCAAAGAAACCCATCGCTAAGACACCCTCAATACCTTTCCATTTTGCGCTCTCACCAAAGACGACGAAATCGGGTTGGCCGACGCCTGTCAGCAGAGGAACGATACGGGATGCCTGTCGCAACCCCTCGTCATCAGCACCCCACAATACGAGCTCGAGACGCTCGTCAGGTAGTGGTCGCAAGAACGCTGCACCTCTAGCTTCATCTCCGTATGTCTGGTCTTGCCCACGATAGTCGCGGATGGTAATTCCAGAGTCGCCAAACTGAATCGGGAAGTTGCTTTCACTTTCTTTGAGACTGGCGCCAACAGCTAGAGTGATAACGTTGTTGGTGTATTTGGAAATTGCAGAGTCTGCGGTGGAAGAGACGATGTTGGCGTCTGCTTGGAAGTACTGGTGTAGATTGCGTGAAGTCTGCAGTGCAATGTACGACGAATTGGCAGAGCCTGGGTGCCTGATAGTGAACGACCCACGGGTGCGAAGAATAGCAGTCATGGAGCCCAGTTGTCGACCACTTCTTTCAGGCTGCGCGGAATCTGCAGTACGTGAGCCGATGTTCCAGCCTTCGTCCGTCTTGAAAACACGGATGAAAGAGTCCGTAGTTGCTGCTGCCTCTGCCAGGCTCAATTCGTGCCCATCGAGAGTCACAGACTCGCCCCAGAGGGCAGTATTGAACTCAAGCTCTTTTACATTGGAGGTCTTGATTATGTGTCCCCGAACACCAACCTTGCCGTAGCGTCCTGGGTCTTCTAGCTTTTTGACTTGAATCCCGTTCTTACTCCCCATGTCTCCAGGGTCCCCGACCATGATAAGAAAATGCTCCATTTTCCGGGGCAAAACATCTCTGTTCATAGCTTGTGTGTAGTAGAAGTCTACCAAGGCTGGTGTTGTCATGACCCCGTCGAACCAGTGGTTTGCCCCCGCTACTTCGTTGTAACTAGCTTTGGCTCCTGTAACTCCCGAACTGACTCCTGTGCGATACAGCTGCTCCGCAAGTAGGCGGCCATTGTAAGCTGGAACGTTGTCATCGATCTCACCGTGCTGCTGTTGAACAGGAATTCCATGCGCGTTAGGCATGAGCATTTCATGTCGATAATTGTTTAGTGAGGCACTGATGACCGCTGTACGTCCTGGATCTGCAGGCTGCCACAGATGGTATGGCACGTACACCTGAATACTGGCGTAGCCCGAAACTGGTGCTGCAGCGAGTACTTTATCTGGTCGGTGAGTCAGGGCATACCAAGTACCCTGCCCACCGTTGGAGTGCCCCGAGACTATCCAGCGGTCTGTGTCGATACCGTACCCGGTCCAGTGATTGTCCGCGATCCAGGTTGGAATCGCAGCTATTGCGGCTTCAACGTCGGCGAAGCCCCAATTATGCCAGTCATCGCCGGACCACGGCGTGACACCTGTTGGGAACAGGACCCATGCGCAGAGATCAGAAACGGGATCCAGAGCTCCAGTAACCTGGGCATTTTCCGCTTCAAGACCAGCTCCGTGCAGTTGCAGCAACAAAGGCAGCTTCGATTGTCCCAATGGGCATATTGCGTTCTTCGCCGGAGGCCGAAGCATAGCATAGGAAGCTATGCCGCCCGGGTGGAGATATGTGACCTTGTGAGGCCTGTAGAGATCGATATGATTCAGCTTTTGAGACACATGTAGGGTGTTCTGATGCGTTCCACCAATGGACTGGTACGTGATGTCGTATTCCAAGGATGAGGCGTTGTTGGTAGAGAGAGATGCTTTCAAGACGATGGGCCTCGTTTGACCAGAAACAATAGTGATGGGCATGCTCGGGTCTTCGTATGTGTTAGAGTCGTCCTGGTCAGCAATATCAGTATCTTCGCGTAACAATGACTGAGCGCCCGTTGTCCACCCGGCGAAAGAGACGTGCGAGCTCACATCTGAGGGCTGAATGCTCAGGACCTCGATATCCTCTTCCCCAGTGTTCCTCAAGTATACCGATCCAATCGACGAAGCAAGCTTTCCGTCGACCACATCAGACACTAGCATGCCAGGTTTCGCAAGTTCCAGAGACCCTGTGGCCTTTTGCACGTCAACGACAACATCAATGGTAGGCTCCAGAATGCCTCCAAAAGCCCTGACATCGCGAGCTAGGCGAAGATCGATTCTGTGTGAGCCAGGCTTGAGATGAAGAACAGGAGGTGCGTTGCGGTAGCTGTAATAGTCTCCTCCAAAGTAGTGCTGGTCATCCACCCAGTATTCCAGGATGGCGTCCGTATGCAAGATTAGATGTTGAATCTCATTACCGCCGACGATGAGTTCGCCACGGGCCCAGGCCTGGTATTGAACAGCAGCCCACCCGTATACGACCTTGAGGAAGTCCCAATCAACGTTGGAGTAAGCCACGCTCAAGGAAGCGTTGGCTGATGTAGCATCGTTCAAAGTCCGTACGGCTTGGGTCACGTTCCATGACGCGGTCCCGTTAGTAGGCAATGAGCTTCGAAATGTCGCCTCCGGGTCATATTGGAGGTTTCTGAAGCCGCCGTAGTACTCGAGTGGATCGGCACCCCACGTGGCTTCTATATGATGTTGGCATGGTGTTTCCGCGTCACCACGGTCAATGACGTACCTCTTGTTCCAACCTGCCATGGCCCTAAGACGTGCCATGTGTCGTTGAAGGAAATCAAGGAGGCACTCTCCTGGCGGCTCGCTAGGTGTAGTGGGGCTACGACCGGGCCATGTTCCGCAGCATGACCCAATTGCAGCAGGAGGAAGATAGCACAGAACAAGTACGGCAGCGACGGCCGGTTCATCGGAACAGACATACTCGGGGTTGCACGAAGCCTCGACACATGATGAGGAGCGAAAGAGGTGGTTTTGAACAGGAACGTCGTTATCGGTGCAGAAGATCTCTGCCCGACACAGCAGGTGCGGAATGCATGGTAGTTCCCGAAGTCATCAACGGAGCTTGGCTGACGAGGGCTGGTGATTTGCTATCCCTGTCGGCTGCACGACGCCCGGAACGCGTATGTCACTAACCAGACAATTCTCCGCTAATTACGGATCTATTGCGACGCTTGCCTTCAACACCACGCTTCGTGGAATAATCCTTCTCGACGATCCACGGTACCCCACCACCGCTACCGCTGATTGTGCCGCCCTCGTGCTCTTGCGTGTAGCAAAGGAGTGCGCCACTGTTCCGCGCATATAGCACCAAGTCGCCTGCAACATCGCTTCTCCTGCCCCCATGGCGTAACGAATAGTTCTACGACACCCCAACCTCCTTCCATCCCGCAGTCGCCATGACGCCTCCGTTGGCGCGGGACCCGAGTCCCAACGCTACCTTCAAGTTTCCCGCCTTCCAGCCCGATCTGCTCCCCACGCCCGAGGAAGACAACATCTACGGCCTCAGCTCGTCGCGGTCCGCCAGCCCCAGTCATGCAGCGCAGACAAACGGCAGTGCGATACCAGGGGACAGGTGGCATCCGCGCAAAGAGGCTAGGTTCGGGGGCATGAATGGCTCCTCGTCGGGCTCCTCGAACAGACACGGGCGACAGAAGAGCCTTTCCGAGGCCTTCAGGACAATACGGACGCGAAAGGGCAGTGTCAGCCAGAATGCGCATGAACTCGCAGATGCGCTCAAGGCACCGCTGTCGCCCAAGCTCATCGTACGTCGCGCCATGCACGTCTCTGCATGGTCCATGGCTAACAGACGCAGGTGCTCTGCGGCGTGTGGTACATGACCTCCATCTTCACCAACATGTCCTCTAAGGCCATCCTGACGGCCCTACCGAAGCCCATCACCCTTACGACCGTACAATTCGCCTTCGTATCTGGCTGGTGCTTGATAATGGCCATGTTCGCTAGGAAATTCCCGCGGTTGAAGCAGACGATGCCTTTCCTCAAGTACGGCATTCGCAGCCCGTCCAGAGAACTTATCATGGCTACGCTGCCCTTGACGCTCTTCCAGATTGGCGGACACATTCTCAGCGCCGATGCTACGTCGAGGATACCTGTGTCGCTGGTGCACACCATCAAGGGACTCTCCCCGCTCCTGACGGTCATGGCCTACAGCATCTTCTTCAAGATTCAATACTCGATCCCAACATACCTCTCCCTTATACCACTTACTCTGGGAGTCATACTGGCATGCTCGGCGGATTTTAACGCGAACCTGATCGGCCTGATGTCCGCATTTGCCAGCGCTATCCTCTTCGTCGTACAGAACATTGTCTCCAAACAGATCTTCAACGACGCCGCAGCCGCTGAGAAAGACGGCCTCCCACCCAACAAATTCACCAAGCCAGACAAATTAAACCTCCTCTGCTACTCCTCCGGTCTAGCCTTCCTCTTCACACTCCCACTCTGGCTCTGGTCCGAAGGATTCACCCTCATCTTCGACTTTCTGCACGACGCGTCCATCGAACTATCAGACCACCCTGAAGCTCTGGACCACGGGCGGCTGATTCTGGAATTCCTGTTCAACGGCACCTTCCATTTCGGGCAGAACATTGTAGCTTTCGTGCTACTATCCATGGTCTCACCAGTCACCTACTCCGTCGCCAGCCTAATCAAGCGCGTCTTCGTCATCGTCTTCGCAGTCGTCTGGTTCGGCAAGCCCATGACCAAAGTGCAAGCCTTCGGCTTCGTCCTCACATTCGTGGGTCTATATCTCTACGACCGCACGCACGACGCCGCCAAAGCAGATAAACGCGCCAAGGCCCTACAGTCCAAGAACAGCGGCTCACTGCTTCCTTTAGCAACGGACGTCAAGTCGCGACCTGTTTTCACGGCTAGTCCGTCGTCCATGCAGGATCCAGGGACGTATTCCATGCCGGGCATTCACGAGTCACGAGATGAGAAGAGACATGATGATTCGGGCAGTTCGAGCTATCGCAGGACTTCTGAGCAGGGCTCGCAGTACTTGCCTCCTGGGACGAAGGCGGAGGATACTTGGCGACCCAATGATATGAATGGCAGAAGGGGGATAGGCGTTTCATGAGCATTTACGAATCTATTTGTTGTTTTTAGATGAACTCTTGGGTCGAGATCCGAGTGATGTTTTGTCTTGGTGAGTGGCCCGGAAGAGATGCTCGGTACGGTGATGGAGATGCGCAAAGGACCGATCTACGTGCCGAGTGTTACTGGTCAGTGGTCAAGTGCTCGATTTGCCGAGACGACCGACAGAAGATACTAAGCCGTGGATCTACTTCGTCACATGTGACACAACGGCCGCTCCAGGAGTCTGCTGACGCGTCAGCCCATCGTGACATTCCGATTGTACAATTAACGACCATGGTGGCTACGCGAGATAATCTAAACATGAGCTGACATTGCAATCACGCCATACATACAGCCACTATTCGCATTATCGCCTCCAGTCCCGAACCGAACAAAAGAGATGCTTCTCGCAGCATGCAAAACCAAGCAGAGACCCCGACACCTGTAGCCGAACAGACACAAAGCAGACGTAAAGTGAGCGACTTCCTGGACGCCGAGTTTGGGCATTTGCATCATTTCATGTTGTTTCCCGCGCGTTAAACGTAAGGCACATTTGTATCGTAGTCCTGCTCGCTATATCCGAGCTTTCTCCCTTCGCTGTTCCCGCCAAAGACATGCGTTGTAACCCGGCGCAACCAGTTTGTAGGTGAAGGGTATTTGTGGATTTCGTCGTCGTCTAGCAGCATCCCTTCTTCTGCTCCGCGTCGGCCGACTTGCTGATCTCGAGCACCTTGCGGTCGTTGCCGAGGACTGGGCCGCTGCCTTCGCCTTGGTCGAGGGCTTTGCTTGAGACGATGCGGTAGATTTCTGGGTAGTGTTAGCAGCAGTTCGTACTGGTGACTCAACGTAGAGGGCACGACGAAAGTGGCGGTGTGAGCACATGTCTATCCGGGCTGTAGACTGTGACGCCAAACTTTGCGCCGACCACTGTATTTGCTGCGAGATATTGTATGGTGAGGCGGACGTACCTGTGAGAATGTTCTGGAAAGCAAGCTCGACGTTGCTGGCGTCCAAGGCGGACGTCTCGATGAAGGAGAGGTTGTTGTCGCCTGGAGAGTGTCAGCTTACGTCGTCTCTGAGTGACTATCTGGACAACTGCCAGTGTCATAGAATGGAACACGTACTCGCAAATTGCTTGGCCTCCTCTGTTGGCACTGCCCGCAGATGCCTCAAATCGCTCTTGTTACCGACGAGCATGATGACGATGTTGGAGTCGGCATGGTCGCGCAGCTCCTTCAGCCACCTTGTCACGTTCTCGTATGTCTGGTGCTTGCTGATGTCGTAGACAAGCAGAGCGCCGACAGCGCCACGGTAGTATGCGGAGGTGATGGCGCGGTACCGCTCCTGGCCTGCGGTATCCCAGATCTGGGCCTTGATGGTCTTTGCGTCGACTTGGATGGAGCGGGTAGCGAATTCGACGCCGATGGTCGACTTGGAGTCGAGGTTGAACTCGTTGCGCGTGAATCGACTCAACAGGTTGGATTTACCGACACCTGAGTCTCCGATGAGCACCACTGCGGGGGTTAGCGGGCGACGAGACCAGGACGAGTAAGGCGGGGGGAGAGGCGGTACCCTTGAAGAGGAACTACAGGCACGACAGTCAGTATGCAGAGCCCACAGCTGCTGGCGTACGGGGACTCACGTCATATTCGTCGTTCGCCATTGTTGCGGTAGGCAGGTGGGGAAGAAGTGGCAGGTGGGCGGCGGTTGCACGTCTCAGTCGCTAATTCGGCGAGAGTCTCGGGGGCAGGGCCTGGATAGCGTTGGGGTATCAGGGCAAGCAGAAAGGCAGAGTCCGGTCGTCGTGACGGGTGAAGTGTCCAGGTGCGCTATCTCGCTGCCTCGAGGAGTCGCTGCTCCACCAACAAAGCACCAGCCAGCACTCAGGGCGAACGAGCCCATGCCGCATTAGGTAAGCGAGACGCTACTCTCCGCGCCCTCACCTGCACCCTCACGCCGTTGTTGCTTGCACCACCGCAAACAAGCCGCCTTTCGTCAAATAGCGGCAATAACTCCGCCTCTTCTTATCGCGTGTTGGGCGAGCACAGCGATCGGGCGCGTATCGGAAAATTCGACTTGCGCGTTGTATCAGCATCCTCCCGCTGCTCTCAACCAATCAGGACCTTGCATCCTCGTTCATCTCTACGGCTTTCGCCAGAATGTCATCACGCCCTGTCGAAGACAATGAGCAAGTGGCGGGTACTTTTGACGTGGAATGTATCATAGCAGAAAAGTGGCAAAATGAATGGGACGTCGCGCCCTTCGGGAAGGGCATAAAGTACTTGACCAAGTGGGAGGGCTATCCACTTTCCGAGTAAGTCTATGCTGAACGATCGTTGAGCCAAGCTAACCCGCTATAAAGCAGTAAGCATTTAATCCTGTCTTTCGCAGTTCTTTGGTATTGCCTGGGACACTACCCCGACCTATACTTTCCAAGCGTTCCACAAGGTTGAACATTCATCGCATCTTCCTAACGTTATGTAGGTACTTGGGAACCAGCATCAAATTTTGAAAATGTTAATGATGATGATGTTCCAACGGACCCCGAACCTGCCCCAGGACCCCCAGCTCCCACCGCTCTGGAACTATGGAACCTGAAGAAATCGAAAATGAGCGGGATTGAATTCCGGAAGCTATGCGACCAAAACATAAGCAGATTCGAGGCAGCATTCCGAGCAGCGGCAGGTGAAGGTGTGCCGCCCCTCGAAGTTACACTGGCAGAAAGAGAAGCTGTAGACTCCAGTCAACTCAACAACTTGTTCATCGAAAGTCCCAGAAGACAACCTCCGAGAGCGCGTAAGCCTCCTGTAGTGCAGTCAGACTCATCTTTGTCTTCTTCTGAGGAAGCAGAGTTGACGGATGACTCATTATTCGATGAGATCACGATGACCTCAAAGAAGACAAAGCACAAGTTAACTAGTGCAGATGGCACTGGTACTGAGCGCCGGCCACGTCGAAAGTCAGCTCAGTCAGCCAGTGAAGCACTGAAACGTGCTACAACCACTCCAAAGCGGAAGTCAGCTACTAAGCCGAGCCCAGCTAAGCCTTCGCCATCGGAATCAATTCCACATTCTCGAACCGGACATGTCGACCCGGTCCCCACGCAGCGGAGGGCGAGTACCACCAGTGAGCTTGCAAGCGCCGCTACAGGTTCTGCCAATATAACTCCGGCCCGCGCAAATCCCGGTACTGCGAAGAGATCAGTCTCATTTACTACGCAGGTCAGTCCTAGTAATATCACATCCGATACAGGAAAGAATGGCGCCATCAAGTTCACGAACCAACCGAAACCTCCGCCTCGCCAGATCTCTGAATTGAACAAGACCCATTTCCGCAACCTTAAAGGACGAGGGGCGGCGAATAAGAAGTCTGCCAGGGAGGGTACACCTGATCCTTCGGCTCTACAGATTGTCAACGCCCCACCCGGTACCACTATCTCGCTCCCGCGCGCACCACGCGATGATCTATACGGTCGTCGTGAGCCTAGCCATAGGCGACCCACAGAAGACTCCAACAGCGACGTTCGCCCAAGCCGACAGTCTACTGACGGTAACCTACCGTTGGAAGACTGGGAATCCCACAAAGTCCCATTAGTATGCTATTCTTGGAGGCTTAGCAACGATTGCCCGAGAGGTCCGAAAGAATGTCGCTTCATGCATAGAAATAAGGATGAAAACGGCCGTGACTATCCCTTGGGGGATATGCAAGGGTTCATACCTGGTAAATATCGCAGGCCACCACTCACCTGTCCCTATTGGCTGAACCATGAACGGGGCTGCAAGAATTCTGCCGAACAGTGTAATTACGCTCACTACAACACTGGGTGGATGAAGCACACTGATCCTAAAGTTCCCGATGTGCGAATTGATCCTGAGAAGCGGCCGGAGTTCAATGGTGGAGAAAGTCAGTCTGGAGACAAGTTCACCAAGAAAGCGTTGGCCCCGAACCAACTTACGTGCTGGTACTGGAAAAACACTCAATGTCGTAAGTCCGACCAGGATTGTGCCTTCCAACATTATGATACTGGTATCGTCGCGGATGGGCCACATGGTTCTCGTCAGAAGCCTGTTCGACCGGCGGATGGGTCTGATGAATCTGATGCGTCTGTCCATATGGACATCGATGATGTTGCTCAGCCGGACGTTGCCGATGAAGTAACACGCTCCCCTTCTCCCATGCCACTCGAACAACCGCAACAACCGTTCCAGCCGCCACCTCCTCCACCTCCACCCATGGAATTCCCTCCTGTCGATATCAGATGCACAGAGCTGCAAGAGAGAATAAGCGCAGTCAGTAAGCTCGACTTCGAAGACATGTTTGCGACCAACGATGGTGAAACAACCATCGATCCGGTAGAAAGGAGGGCTTTCTTGTTCTTTCACCCTGAAGATCACTTTGTGGAGTTTGAAATCATCACTCGATGGCTCTTGATGCATCATGTCCAAGTCAGCAGTGCGAGCTATGCAGGCGGATGGGCAGATTTTCAGCAACAAATCCTGAAAGGAGGCACGGGTATTATCATCGTACGTATCACACACTCCGTGGAACAAACGAATACTAAGCAGACTAGGCACATCCCGACTTTGAGTACTTCACAAGTATCCCCGGATTCGGCCAAGTCCTCCGTAGAGGAGTGCGTCTCTGGTCGGTCGGGCTCCAACCAGGTATCGAATACGACTATGCTTCAGATGAGACACCTGTGCTCCGGAATGATCGCATTGAGATATTTCCTGTTGGTGGATTCATCTACATCACGGACGAAGTCTTCGAAGCGATGCCAAAATATGCGCTGTGTATCATCAAGCTCTTCTTGGCGAAAATCAAGAAGCTCAAGGAACTCGCAGGTCCATCAGCTCATTGGCCAGAGATCGTCGAGAACAGCCTGCTCTGGCGTCTGTGTGTCCGTCCGGAACTGATGGAGCATCTGTTTGCCTACTGTGAAGATCAAGCAACAGAGCTCCAAGCTGGGGATCTTGATGTACAGAGGTTCGTTTACTACATTTGGAACAAATCGATTTGCCACTAACCTTAACACAGTGCCGCAAAGCTCTACTCTCTCCTCACAAACCCCAACTACATCGAGCAAGACAGTCCAGACGCCCCCTTCAGCCTAAAAGCCGATAAACACCCCATCCTCTCCGAGCGCCGTGCGATCGCAGAATGCGAACCTGTCGACTACTTCAACACGCTCAAACGTAGCCAGCAAGCCGCGAATCTGAACATGATACGCTACTACGCCGGACTGCAAGTCGATATGCGCCGCGACTACCGCCACTTCTACGTCGTGCACACCGAACCGACAGCATCGTATGTGAAGGAGTGGAAGCAGGAGATACAGACTATCGCCGAAGTCATCACACCTGAACAGTGTGTCAAGGAGCTTAAGAAGAGTGGGCAGGATAGTATGTTTAACTTCTTTGAGGACGTGATGGCAGGGGATGTGGGTGAGAAGGGAGCGGACAAGGACGGTGACGCGACGCGCACGGGCTAGGAACCTACGCGCGATGCTAAACATGTCCCGGTAACGATTGAAGAGTGGTGGAAGAGGGCTCAACATATTCTTTCACGGAAGTCGTGTTGGGCTGTATGAAGTCTGGCGTGTCTTAAAGGACAAGGTCAAGTCACCTCTCCATGTCAGACACGCCCTCACAATAGCATTTCCGCTTATTTCCCCGATAACCCAATACCCCGTGATAGTAGTAAAGCATTTCACATGTTCAATAAAAGCGTTCTATCAACTGAAGCACGTTTTTAAGTCATTACCCACCCATCAAAAGACACTATCCATGGAGAAAACAAGCTGGGTATCATTCAACTGCTTGCAAACCTATCGTATATACACATCTACTTCTTTTTCCCCTTCGTCTTATCCACAACATCAACCCAATTCCTCTGCACCCCCCTCTTCTCCAGCGCCTTCATAATGGCATCTTTCTGTGGCCCCTGCACCATAACCTCCATGACCGGTGCTTTGGGACTAGACCCCTGCAGCTTATCCACACTCGTACTGCCCGCACACGTCTTCCGCAGCTCATCAGCGAGCGGCTGCGGCGAGATGTAATACGGCTCCAGCCCATGCACTTTCGTCACGGTCTTGTTGCCGCTGCGCGTCTCGAGCGTGATTTGTATCTTAGGTGGTGCACCGGCTTTGGGTTTCGCGTCGGAGATGTCGGCGTCGTTGCGGATTATGGCGTGGAAGGGGGGGGATGCGGCGACCATGCGCTCGGCTAGGGCGTCGCGTGGCATGGCTCCTGAGGAGAGGGCGGCGTTGTCGGCGGCCGAGGAACCCAGTAGCGCGTCTGCGAGCTGCGGGTTGATGCGAATGAGGCGCTTGTTCTTGGGATCGACTAGGTTCTCGGCTTCTATGTAGGCGATGAGGAGTTGCTTCAGCTCTGATGGGGTGTAGAGGCCGCGGGGATCGGCTTTGGAGGCGCTCAAAATCGGTGCGAGTTTCTCTTTGGGTCGGAGCACGGAGACGAGCTTCAGCTTTTGGCCTACGGAGGACTCGGCGGAGAGAGGCGCGGCTGGCTTCCCGTTGACGCTCGCTGCGGTTGGCGCATCTTTCTTCGGTAGCCGGTAGGGAACGAACGATTCGATCTGGCGGTCCTTGAAGTCGATGTCAAGGACTACGACCTCGTTGCCGTCGCGGTCTTTGCACTTGAGAATCTGTTGCTTGTCCAGATACCGGACGAACTTTCTCAGGTTCTTCCAGCTTGTCTTCTTGATTTGTAGTGAGGCGGTTCGGGCGGGGGTGTAGGTGGGAAGGAAGGGTAGGACGAGCGTGGACATGACGTTTGTCTGCGAGATCGGGAAGTCGAGGCCGTAGGAGGGATGGCCCTTGTTGTGATCCATGTGGTATCGGACACCGTACAAGAATGCGTTCTTGAAGGCTTCATCGATTTCTGAGGACTGTTAGCTGGTGGTTGGTGTGATTGAATGTAGGATGCATACCCTTGGTTGTAAGCTCTTTATCTTCAAGGACATCGATGAAGTCGTTATTGGATGGCGCATCTTCGCCTTGTACGCCCTGTGCTTTCTCCGCCTCTGACCGTTCAGTCGGGGTAGCATCGAGAGTGATACCGCCCTCGTCGTCGTCTAGATCGACGGCTGCCGTGCGTTCAGCGAGACTGGCCTCCTCACCATTGTCGTCGTCCCAGCCCTGGAGGATATCAGGAGGCTCTGTGCCCGCCTTGCCTGTCGAGCTCCAAGACCATAGTTCATCGCCTGCCCAGTGAAACGTCGACACAGCCATACCCTTAGTTCCCTGGACATTGCCCAACGCGCTTACGTCGATGACGCACTCGCCAACCGCCATGGGTACCGTCGGTGCCTCGAGGCTTGCAATGGCAACGATTGCGCCTTTGGTCGCTTTCTTGGGGAAAGGCGGGCCTCGTTGCAGGCCAGGCGTCATCAGGTCGGCGCCACCCTGCATCTTCTCGACCACGACGAGTGGCGTATAGAGCAACGGGACTATTCGTGGGTTGTGCCAGAGAGTATAGACGGTCGGGTACATCTTGTCACCAACCTTCGCCCACAATACTCTCTGCTCCCCGCTGGTGCCCTCATGGCTGCCTACGTATATTGTCCCCGACACCTGCTTGAGGTCTGGCCCCGCGGTTGTGGTGAAGCGCGCGGACAGGGCATTCTCGGGGAGCAGCGACTTGCGCAGTGCTGTGAGGCCGGCGGTTGAAGAAGCTGCCTTATCTTCAGGATTCGCGTCGGCATCTACGGGAATGTCTATGCCAAAGTCGGCGATGATCTGGTCGGCAGTCCTGCGGCGGTCGCTCGACTTGAGGGGGGAGAGGGGCTTGATCTAAGGGGCGTTAGTCAGTGCAGCGTATGTGCGAGATTGCAACCGACAGTGGGTTTCTTTTTGAACATGTTGGACGCGTATGCTTCTGCGGTAGTTGTTGGATGTCGTGGGCGAGTCTGAAGCTCTGCGCGCTGGCCGCAAACAATATTTGACGCGGCGACTCTCTATGACTTCAGCGGGACAGCTAGCGCGTTTCCCCAGCCTTGCCATGCCCTTGCCATGTGCCTCGAACGGCAGCATCACTATGAGTCGAACATCCTCATACTGACTACGCAGTGCTACCTTTGCGACAGACTTCGCCATATGTGCCGCTTTGTTTCTTCATGTCCTCGCCCTGGTCCATGAAATGAAAGTCTGTGTTGATGATGCAGCCAATGTCCACGGATGGCCCACAGACCCGGTCGTCACTTTAGACTTCTGTCGCCAGCTAGGCAGTTGTAGCCGCCAATATAGCATTTGGGACCCGAAGCTACTTTTTCCATGGTTGGGCTTCTGATGACACCTGCGAAATTAACCACATCGGCTGGCGCGTGCTGGCCTCACCTGTCGATCCTGAAATCTAGAGGCTGTCTAGCCGGCAGTCGACCTTCTGCTGTACTTGGTAAGCCGGAAGGCGTCAGTGACGATAGCATGCAATGCCTCATTGTTTATAGACCATTGTCCCTTTTACGCCTGGTACTGCGTCAGCTGCATCGTCAGGACGCGTCTTCGCACCATAACAAGCTGTTCACAGCCTCCGGATAATCTCAGCTCACGTCGAGGACTCCATAGCCTTCCGTCGCAAGCTGAAGCGCAATGTTTTCCCTCTTGCGGTGGTGTACTGTCACGTTACAGAGCCGTCCTTTGCCTCATCTGAAACATTGTCCCATCTGAAACACACTCTCTGAGATACTGCCACACCGTCATCTACCATCTAGTCGCGCTGCTACCAAAGGTAGACAGCCTCGCACACGAAACACACACCAAAACCGCAAGGAGATGAACAACGTAGATAGACTTCGATCCCAGATTCCAGGACGCTGGCCCGGCCTGTTGGGTCCCATGTCGCTCACCCGCCGCAGCATCCATGCAGCTGGCAGCCATCGACATCGACGGTAGCCGCTTCCGGTCAAGGCGTGCTGAACTTCAAATTTTAGCCGTCCAGGCACCAGAACGCATGCGGCCGTTGCACGGTACACAGTTCCGTGCTGACATTGACCGCATCGGCAACAGCTGGTTCTCGCGCAAAATGTGCGCATCCAATCCATGCCTCAGTATTCCATTGCGGCAGTCATGGTGCAAACACTGCAGACGTTCGTGGCGGCGGCGCGTCAGCGAAAGACTTGCCGGCCCGGCCAATGGCTCTAGGCCTCGGTGCAGAGTCGACAACGGCTGGCTTATTCACAGCTTCACCAAACACCTCTTGGCCCGCGTGGTCCCAATTGCCGACTGGGCGCCACCGCCATGATTCAATCACACTATGCCTCCCTTAGGCAAAGCACCATTACGCATGGACTCGGCCCCCGGAGCCTCCAGGATGACCATCGTCCGTAAATGTCATGGCGAGATGCGGAGAACTGACGCGCCACGAGAAACGCCCAGCTGCGCCCGTTCGTTCTTGTACTCATTCCCCGTCTTTCCTCATAAACCCATCGTTGTCGCTCCCCCTCACGCCTGCCATGGTAAAAGTGTTGAGATCGAATTTGAAGCTTTTCGCGTTGTGACATCACAGCACGCTTCCTCGGCATCTGCCCCGGCTTTCGGAACCGACCTTCGAAAATTCTGCGAACACCATGAGCCCCATACCCGGCATCGAGCGCAAATGGAGAGAGGGTGAGGTCGTACCCAAGCCCAGCAACCCGGAGGAACTCATCCTGGAAGCATGGGCGCAAGGTTATCTCGTGGGTTCGCTCATCATTATGGCGTTCATCACGTTGGCAAACATGAGGCGCGGCGTCCTGTTGCACAAGGTTAGTAAGAACCCTCTTTAAGCAGTGACCACCGCTGACAACCATCTAGTTGATTCTCCTTGAAGTGAGTCCACATTTACATATCTGCTTACATCCATACTAATCAAGTCCAGCTCATCCTTGGTATCTGGCAAGGATTCTGGTTATTTTTTCCCAGCCCAGTCCACGCCTGGTGGCTCTCCGTCGCCGCCATCTTCCTGAACGCCTCCTGGTCTCTGCACAATGTCATTGCATGGATGAAGATCAAGCCGTTCCTCTCAAAACCTGTCAGCTATATCTTCATCGGTACCGTAGTGCTTGTTCAACCGTACTGGGTCGTGGAGATATACGCCAACTTCGCCTACTTTCATGGCGTCAACAAGATATTCCTGAAAACACGACCATATGAGGCGCTATGCCGCGATCCCTGGTGGATTCTCACCACCATCTACCTTTTCTGGGTCATCAAGACGCAATACGAACTGAGCCTCAAGGAGATCGTACGCATCTCGCCGCGTTTTGGTATCATGTTGTTGTCCATGTTACTCAGCATCGTCTTCATCGTCCTGGACATTTCTACAGTCACCGAGGCTATCAAACTCCCAGGAGCCACGGGTATCAACCCCTTCTGGAAGTTCGCATTCGTATTCAAGTGCCTGACGGATTCCGTCGTTCTCGACGATTTCAAGGTGGCGCTCGACCGCCTGCGAGCTTTCCGGATCAGTCGACTAGGCAGCTTCTCGGGTGACC